GTTGCACGCCCCTCGAACCACCGTCCGTTACCTTTGCTTAGCGGCTGGGCTTTGCGAGCAGAATGCGAGCTTGCTCGAGTAACTTGGATCCGTTCAGAAGATAATCCCCTCTAAACAACCATCTCCGCCGCCTGGGAAGAACGTAAGTGGGCGAACGAGACGCCTGTGGGTTTTGCGTCACGCCTGCATTTCAAGGGTCAGACTTACTGGTTCCCGACACCAGCACGATTGACGGCACCGCCCGCGTCTTTGAGTGTATATTGATACGGAGAAGGAGAAGAGCGCGACGGCCCGCGGCCGTAGTGCGTTAATTCTGGCTCGCACTCTGGCGGGCAATCAGATTAAAAAACTACCGCTGAGAACCACCCCGTGTACATACTTGAAAACATGATAAGCATCGAATGGGAGTGAACGTAAACGTATAATGATCCGATACAAAGTTTCGCTTGATTCCTAAACGAATAATGCAATAGCCAAGTACACCTTCACATCAAATTGTTAGACAGAATTGAAGAGAAGATTGTGTGTTTCTTGAAAGAGATTTTGTTGTCTTTCGGTATGCTTCTGTGGTGTAAACAATTTTACGCACTTCCCACAAATATTTCATCGTCAACGACAGTTTTAAAGTATTACGCACTGCCTCGGGTGCGTTGACCTTGCGCACTAGAGCGTCACAGGAGCGCATATTTCCGCAAAATAAATACGAGGACCTATTTCTACCTTTGAATCGACCACTTTTGTGGCATCACGACGAACACACTTTCACCATGAAGTAACAAAAAATGATTGGTGATGAAATTGATTGGGCCCCAACAGTAGAGCCACATTATTTAGGTTGCAAATAAACTGGGCGTCGTTCATGCGATGTGTTTACTTCCATGTTCGAATGTGTTGAGAATGAGTAGCCGAAAAGCGCAGTCTGCAGGCTGCTTCCTGGAGTGGCCTGATATTTCCCCAACTCGGGAAAGGGAGGGGGGGGGGGGGGGGGGGGGGAGGTGAGAAAGGTGTGGATGTTGTGGGAAGGTGATATGTATTCTCACTCAGGAGAGTCGCCGGTTGTTAAAAAGTCGACTCGCAGATACCGGGAAAGCCTGTGGGGCCACACCTATAGTAACCATCAGTAAAATGTGGTATACAGCTATGTCACTGAGAAGTTGCGATAGTGCAAACGATGGGGCGCTGTGGAGGCAGGTGAAGCATAGACCGATCTTACGATTGTGCCCTTTTCATTAGAAGCAAGAATTACGGTTTGCTTCTTCAACCCCTACTGTCGCCAATCTTTCCAATTTTGAATAAATCTGGGACAGCGTTGATCGCGCAAGCCCGCGGCAATATTTAAAGGTCTTTATCAAGTTATAAAACAGTCATCAAGTCGAGGTAAGGACGAATAAATACGTAAAAGAGTCCAAAATGGGAGGAACAACATACGAGAGGAGATGTGTTTCAAACAGTAATGAAGAGATTAGGGAAAGCCACTTGATTTATAAGTTTAGAAAATAAAAGTATTATCAACGACCTGAACCCTTTATTGCGCAAGCCAATCCTTGTGCAGAGACGGGAATGGTTCCAGCAGCCGCGCGATGCCAGAGAGCGGCTGCTGGAACGAACGCAGCATACCACGACCCCTCGATCTCCACCGACCGAGCGGCCTCGGACCTGCAGCTCATGGGAAAAAGCGTTCGGTCGCGCTGGCCTCCTCAATCTCGCGGATTGAGCGTGCCCGCGTCAACGAGGGAAGACACCTGGACGTCTCAAGGTCGATGTTGCGCTCGCAGCTAGCCGCTCATTTCGCGGTTTTTGAGGATTATCCCTACAGAAAAAGCCGACACAAAAGAAGCCCCTGTCGTCACGTGATTTTTGGGAGAGGGTGAAAAGAGGAGGGCGCGAGGGCCATTTTCCTACCTTGCGGAAAATGGTTTCGTTGGTCGGTCTTTAACAGTTGAGTACACGGTACGCTAGAGGTTCAACTGGCGCTAGTGTCTATGCGACTTCCGTGGCGCAAATTGAAGCAGACAGCAACCAGTCTACTTTTACGGTACTCAAAACGCGCGTGCATTTCGTCTCTTTTACGGAAAATAACACGGAACACTTTGGTTATTTGGGTCGTACCGAATGGTATGTACCTTAATTAACATTGTAAAAGTGTAGCGACTTTAATTAGCGCATTTTTCTTCATTATTGAACGATGTTTAACTTCGCTACTTTTCAATCCCAAACGTGTGTTCTGCAGCACGTATGTAAAAACAAGCTACGATTCAAAGCAAAATTACAATCGAAAGGAATATAGGGTGTGTTCAAGGTTCGCCAGCATTCCGGTGAGTGTCCGACAGTGCACATAAATACACGTACGAAGCCGTTTTAGCACCGTTTTTAATGCGATGAATTAGAAAGAAAAAAGCCGTAAGTGACCAATTATTTCGTCGGCCTGAGTGAGAAAGGTTCCAAGCTACCTATAGCACGTACGAATTATTCGGGATATCGGCTCTTATGATCGAGCGAAGGGAGAAAATGCACTCACTTTTTCCCATGGAAATGCATTACCGGAAGTCAATTTTCGACTGATTGCTGTCTGCTTCGATTTGCGTCAGCACACTAGCGCCACTTGAACCTCTAGCCAGCCTCTAGCGTACATTATAATAACTCTATGGGTCTGAACTCGTTCAGAACTGGGATGAATCGAACGCGCCAGTGCAGCGGCCGTGCAACTTCCGGTTGAATCGAATACACCAGTTCCTGCACTGCTGAACTTGTTCAGCCAGTTCAGGCGAATCGAACAGACCTACTATGACAATTGCTGAATCGCGCACACTGATCTCTATGACAATTGCTGGATCGCGCATTCCCGCTTGCTCGCTGAAGCGCGAGTGCCGCCATCAGACGCCCAGAGGCCAACTTGCATGCCTTTTTTTTTTTTTCGTTTTGCTAGCGTTTTAGAGGCCGGCGGCAGCGTGCTAAACACACGCCTTCTACTCGTTCGTCGTCATTCGCCGAATACGTTCTTTAAGATGCTGTGTGCGCCGTGATATTTGCCGTTGAGAACACGTGGAAATTTTTACGAAAGCGCAGTGCCGCAGGAAAAAGGCACAACTCGTCAAAAGCAAGTTTCCCCGGGTCTCGCGGCGTCTTCAAAGCTTCCTTAACACGCGGAAGTGCTGTGTCTCTGTGCCTTCGCACGCTTGGATACCGATCAAGAATCGACGCCGTGTAAATGTGTTTCGCGAGTGCAATGTGCGTGGTAAAAGATGGGAAACGTTGTGGAAGAAAAAGGACACAGGAGGAACGTCTCAAAGCTCCACGAAGTTTCCCATCCTTTACCACAGGCTCAGGTAATTTTCAACATTCTCAAGCTTCTTGCTGTTGGGGCTTTTCCTACACAGATTACCAATAATAAAGCCAATATTTTTACACAAGACGCCCAGAACGCCTGTATCGACCCGACGCGTAAACACGATGTGACGCGCCGTCTAGTGCGTACGTTGGAAAAGATACACCGGCAAAACGAAACATAACGTCCAACGCCTCGTCTTCTCGCAGGATGGTGCTGCGCCTAACAAAGTCACTTAGGTCATATGTGTCCGTAAATAGATGACCAAGTCTACAAAACTATAAAGTGCAAAAACAAAATCATTTTGGCTAAATTAGTGCTAATTCCTTTTAGAGAAAACAAAACAAAAGAAAATCTCCGAGATCTTGATTGACCGTGCACCGAAATGTCCGTGCACCGAAAAGTCCGTGCACCAAAAAGTCCCACACCGAAAAGTCCATGGAACGAAACGTCCCACACCGAAAAGTCCGTGCACCGAAAAGACCACATCGAAACGCCCTACACCGAAACATCCAACACCGAAATGTCCGGATCCCCCAAAAATGATGCCACGCGGGGATATCCTAGGGACAGCTACAATGGACGCAAGGATCCCAGGGTGACATTTTGGGACATCCCTGGGACACCGGGTGTTGTCTGGGTATCAGTGTTCTCGGACACACCGAGCAGACAAAAAACCCATGAAAACTGACCTTCAAACCTTTCCCCAACCCTTTTAGTACTGTCCCAGTCGCGGCGTTTTGACGAGAAGGCAGGTTTTTGTCCGATTTCTTCCAAAACAACACAGGGATGCGCGTCTCTCACAGAGCCCCGGATCGGAAGTGCGCCCGACGCTCCACCACCGCGCCGTCACGTAACAAGTGCAAGTGTTCTGAGATGTCTCTTGGGCGCAGGGGAACGCAGAGAAGGGTATAGCACGCCAAACAAGGGCCAACATAAAGAACGCACAGATAACGCGTCATGAGCGCGATGACAAGGAAGCCAAGCTCGTTCTATTATTGGTGGAGGTCGGCAGGGAAGGGGGGACAAACGCACGTGGGCGCATTTGGGGGTAAACAAACGCTCGAGGTACGTCAGTAGCAGACGACCTGTACGCTATATGGCCAGCAGTTTGAGGTCGGGTTCGCGCTTTTTTTCAATCTGGGGAAGTTTCGTGCTATCCCGCGCGCAGCAAAAGAGCAACATCAAGGGAACAGAGGAGGCCATTATGTACGCATGCAAGAAGCGACAGCGAGCGTACGTGCGCCAAGCTTGCAGCGTTGCCTTCACATGGCGCATGCGCAGTGTAAAGCACGCAACGCTAACGCAAATGCACAGTGCTCGCGTATGATCTAAATGCTATACTTAAACTTTCTATCGATGTTGCGCCCGAAATTGAGTACGTCACTCTTTTACGCATCAACATCCATTAACAGATTCTAGTTAATTACTCACCTTATCGAGTTGGTTGTTTCCACATCCAGATATCCGTCGAGCCTAATAAATACACTGTGAAGACTTCACAAGTGTAATTCTCAATCTAATAAATAGGTTATAGGGGAAATAAAACACCCTGTATATTTCTTTCCAGTCTGATCCGCAGCAATTTCCTGGGTTCAGAAATAAATCAAAATGCATCATTTTTATTATAAATGTTATCTGATTAAGTGTCAACAAAATAACGGAATACTAATTCTGAACATTGCGAGCGCGTTTATTTCGACAAATCGAAAGTAGTGGAGGCCAAGAAGATAGGTCATGGCGTTCAGGTCGCTTTACGATAGAACCGCAGTATGAGATGAAACAGAGCAGAACGTCCAGCAAAACCAACAAAATATGAGGTCTTTGTCTAGATCTTGATAAATGTAACCAAGCACTCGTGAGTTCTAAAAAAGTTTTTGTTATTTTTCGTTTTGTTTTATATGTTTCATTTTAAGCAAGATTGTCACATCAATAGATAGGGAAACTAATTTCTGTGCCAAAATAAGTCAAGGCCTACATAAAGATACTGGCTTGGTAGAAACAGGTTTTGATATATTTATCACTGCATTAATGTGCATGGGGTTCGCTCAAGTGACGAGTAGCTTGCAGAAAATAAGCGATCAGTTTATATTCGGATGCCTGGCGATCCTAGACCTCAAAAGCCGCAATTAGCAAGACATGTCTGCATCACTGGTTACCAGCCTTCACGTTCATCCCAACTTTGAATGTATCAGAACACTCTTTTTTAGATGTAAATATAAGGAGTGAGGGGTCAGTCCTTTGTACGTTGTGTACGAGGGTCTGAAACAAGAATAAATCAAAATAATGCGAAGCGTTTTGAATACACTGATAACACAGGTTTCCAATGGACGGAGTTGAACTATGTCATAGTTCTGCAACGAAATTACGAGGATTCGGTTTCTTGGGCGCTTGTTTGTGCTCACATACCTTTCTTGTTTAAATATTATTCTCAGAAAGAAGACATCACAGGAACCTCTACAGAATCTGACATCAGACTGTTCATCCTGCATACAACGGAGGGTTGGCACACAGCCGTGAGCTTAGCTGCTTGACAACAAGGTAGTCTGAAAAGTCTGGATTACATCGAAAACGTCTGCAAGACATTTTCACTCTAATCAATTTAATCACTCTATCAAACAAAGTGATGAGGGAATTTTCTTGTTTTTTAAAGTTGCTTTCTCAGAGAGCAGATACTCAGGATTCTGCTGGAACTCAACGTTGTGATTTGCTGATTGAAATGTTCCTAACTGCCATTTATAACAAATATTTCTGAAGGACACCTTAGGTTGAGAAAGATATTGTTGTAGGTTTTTGTCACTTCCATCTACACTTACATATTGTCCCGATTTTCTCTCAGATAATTGCGGACAATTTCCATGTTGCACTTTGCAACCAAACGACATCCACACTAAATAAACACCACACCATCACACAGTCATTCATCACAACATGAAAATGCAACTTGTTATGCACACAAGGTTTCAAAAGTGTACAAAGATTGTATCGCAGTTAAATATATTAGAAACAGTTCTCTGAAACAATCTTCACAAACTTTGTATGTATAATACATTCTCACATGAGCATATAGAAAAATGAGCCTACATTTGATCAGTATGAACGAGGCAATTGGTGTGAACAACATTTGATAACAATATGAGCCAATGATGGTTCCTTGACATTGAGTAGGAAACACACTGAATGTTCTCTCAGCACACCATCTGTAGCTGAATATATCTTTCAGGCAATATCTGATGCGCAACATAGAACACTGACGACTACGAATCCCATGGAGCCTCAGCTGATGAACTCGCAGAAACATTGTGGGCTGATATCTAACAATGAACTCACCAACAAGAGCAGCGTGCATAGGAAGAGGATGAGGTGACCCCATAAGATACAAAGGATTCCCTGGGTAGATCAAGGCAGCCAAAGGACTGAGAAGGCCCATCAGGTTGAACATTTGTATGAAGTACAAGCGTTCCAAGAACTACCGAACTTTGTCAATTATGACTCGCACCGCTTGTGTACAAGGCCAGCATACCACACTCCCATATAGTGCAGAGGGTCAATCGCCAGGATCTGTACCACAAACGACCGACCAGAAAGATATATTTTGCTCACAAAAGAACGCTGCCTGAGGTACGACAGTGTACATGATGCTGAATAATCAATTATGTTCTGGGCTTGGCAATGATTGGATTTCCACACGTGTGCTAAAGGAGACATGCGGGCCTTGTTCACGAGCAGTACAAGTTGCAGGTAAAACAATGTATGGCATTATGCTTCAGACTGAAATCTCCCGAAAAATCGTTTCAGATAGAGATAACCTACCAGCACTGGAAAAAGAAAGCACTGCATGCAAGGTACAGTGATTGTACAAACAATGACGCCCATGAAGAAGTGCCCCTATTTGTGCGAATGTATAACTGGACGATGTAAACGGAATGATAACAAAGTTGGAACTCGTTGTACACATTTACAAAAGGTTGTATTTACACCAGCAGCGCCCGTCGACTGTCATTCGAAGATCGGAAGACGTTGCATGTGAATAAAAAAAACGAGGTGGTTCAAATTCGTCGAGGCAGGCACGTTTTGTCACCTTCGTTTTCTCCAAGAAGTCTGACAGCTGAAACCGGCTTTACTGAGTCAACATCCAAACCTTGACAAGCTTGAGCCTACTCAGACAGCCCGTGGTTCACTTTAATTGGTTTAAATTATTTTATAGGTATTGTGCCTAAGCGTGTGCATTTAAATTACACAATTCTTTGTGGGACAGGTTCGCACATATGAACCATTCCTATCAAAAATAAACACAAAAAATGGCATGTTCACTTTCGGTTCCAATGGAGGCGAAAGCACCAGATCACGTGGGGTTATAAAAATAGGTTTACTTAACCTCGGGAACTTTTTCACCCCTCCGAAGTGGATGTGTTGAGCATGGTTCAAAAAAGATTAATAGTAACAACAACCCAGAGGCTCACATCAGCTGTTGCAGCTGCTAGCCTTCAAGGTGCAGCCGCTTGCTGAGCTTCTACCATAATTACAACAATTACGACGCAATGAGTACTTCCGCATGTCGGGTCCATCGTATCACTATCAGTCCATTGTTTATATTATGAATATATATATATAGGAACGGCTTCTTTCTGCTAGGCCACCACAAGCATTGTCCATTTTCGCGGAGGTAGGGGCTTGGAGAGTCAGTGGGCGTTGTCCTTCTACAGGCCCGTGCGCTTGTCATCGTTGATTGAGCAGTTGAGTGACCTCTGATAGTCTGCAAAGACGCATGTAAAGCGAAATTAGTGTCATAATTCACAAAGAAAATCAATCATGCAGATGTTTCTTTACTTGCAGAAGAACATGGAATCGTTATTAACCTTTGCAAACATTTCACTGAGAAACAAAGGAAAGGAATCTGCTGCTAAGTGAGACCGCCGCCTCAACAACTGCGGAAGACAATAATAAGTATTGTGAGCAAGGTGAGGACGACGGGATACTGGCGCACACGACCATACCGCTATAGGCTCCGCGTGCTGGCATTGCCTCCATAAAACCAGTGTGCAGTGTTGTCTTGTTCTTTCTGCTGACGACAGGATCATTCTAATAGCGTACACTATAGTACTTCATGATAAGTCACAAGTCTTCTCGATGTTTGATGATTTGATTACACCCAAGGAGACAAAATTAGTCCATAATTTTTAATCGTCCCTTTTATCAGGAGCATGAACTGTGTACATGTGGGACCGAGAACTTTTAATGTGCTCGTTTTTATGTTCTATGCTGCTGTCATATTTATTTCGCTTTGAGTGCTGCTGCATAACGGCCAGGCAAGTAAACCGCTTTGTGACTCCTTCATTTTCCTTGATTATTTATTTTCATATGCTACTCAATCTTGGGCAGTAATGTGCTACAAGTAACACGTTACTGTTACTTTGTTAATTTTTCTTAACTTGTTAGCTTTAACGAGTTACCTTTTGAAAATGTAGCTTGTAACTAGTTCTATTACTCTTTTGAAGTAACAAGGAAAGTAGCATTACTTGTGTAGTTACCTTTCAGTTTCTTGAGGAATGAGATATTTTTTGATAGAGTACAATCTTGGGCAACCCTTGCATTTTCAAAATTATGTGTTCCGACATTTCGAGTGTAAACTCTGCCTTGGGCTAACTTGTGAATGCGTTGGTTCTTGCGACTCATGACCCTAACGCAATCATGTGTAGATTTGATAAAAAAAACAAAAACCTAGTTATCTTTACACGCGTGCTTCTGATTTATGTTTGAAAACTTACACCTTTATGGCTGAAGCACTATCTATGTTGCCGTTTTTCTTTTTATTCTGCACCATTGCATTTTAGTCACATCATATAAACGCGTTAAAGTGGAGGTCCCTCCACTTCAACGCCTTCATAAAGCTGTTATTGCCACCTTTGAGGCATAAAACAAGGGTCAATTAGGAAGCAGTGCCTAAGGAAAACACTTAGAGCAAGTGCCAAGTTTTTCATGACATGGCGCACACAGAAAACAACTTTAAAACAAGCAAGTCTCCCATAAAACAGCATCGTAAAACCGGGCCCGCGACAGTCTACCATTAGCCGCGTATCGAAGAGCCATCTGGTGGATCCGCCTGCAACCAAGGCGAGGAGCGAACTTGATCTGGCAGCGATGGTGCGCACGGCGTTCCAGTCCTATATACAAGGTGTCCTCCCAAAAAGTTTATACGGCTTTTTTCACTGCAAACATAAACTATGCATCGCCGAATGCTCATTCTCCACTCAAATGTAGCGCTATAGAGGTTTGAACCAGATGCCAAAATTTCAGCACTCACTGTTGTCTTATCCAAAATGTTATTAGTGATGTTTTCTGAAGATTTCAACAGTAAAATGGCAGCCGGCAGAGCTCTCGAATGCATGGAGTTCTACAGCGTCAGTTACCGAAGACAGGAAAAAATGGGCCCCAAGTTTCCATTGAAAATTTCAGAAACTTATAATTTTAGAATGAGACAGCAGTTAATTCTGAAACTTTGACATATGGTTCGGACCGCTAGCGCTACGTTTTGGCAGAGAATGAGCGTTTCGGCGATGCATAGTTTAATTTTGCGATGAAAAAAACACTAATTTTTTAAAGTGTGAGTGTGTGTGGGGGGGGGGGGGGGGGGGGGTGCGGACGTTGTACATTTTACATTGTGCTTGAGCCTCACTTAAACACCGGCGAAACTGTGTACCAGGGAAGTTTTGCCCACGGTACAGAGTTATGATTTGCTTGGTTCTATTTTGCCTGTTTTGCCCGCTAGGCTTTTGGGGTTGAGACTGGTCCACACATTTGCAACTGTTTACGACCAGAGAGGGCTAAAACCCGATTTAAGTCACTTGCGACTGCTTATGGCCGGCTGCACAGCAGCCCGACGAGTCGTAAGCAATCGCGAAAAGCTTAAGAAGCAGTTGTGGCGGAGTCGGTCTGCTAGAGGTAAAGTATCAAGGTAAGTAACAACTTTTATTACACAATCACGTAACCCATTGTGATTACGTAATCACAGAACCACTTGTGGTTACGCAATCAGGTAGCCTGTAGTGATTATGTATAGTCACAGAAGCTACAGGGATTACGTGATCACATAACCTATAATGAATATGTGATCACGTAACCTACAGAAATTATGTGACCACGTAATCTATGGCGACTACGTGATGACATACTCTATAGTGATTACGTAATTGCAGAACCTATAGGGATTATCGGATAACGTAACCTACAGGGATTACGTGCTCAAATAGACTACGGTAAAGTTCCGAAAGAACGCCCACCCAAAATGAAGAATGGTAAAAAACATGGGGTGGGCTATCTCTGGGGATGCCACAGCCACACTTTACAAAAATTAATGATAAACACCCTGGCACCGGCTACAAATCACGTAACGCAGGAACTGATACCGCATATCGCGGTCGGATACCGCAAATTCGCGTTTCACGATGCGATAAACATGCGGGAATTCGCTACGAACTCCTGTGTTACGGAAGCCGATTTCACGGTGCGCAGGACCCGCGGAAACCCGCCGAGAAAGTGCATCTCACGAGAACGAATACCGCAAATCGCGGACGCGTTAGATTCAAGTTTTATTGCAATAAACACGCGGGAACCCGCTACAAACTTGACTGTCACGGGAACCGATATCGCGCGCGCAGACCGCGGACAAGCGGGAATCCGCTACGAACTCGCATGTTACGGGAACAAATACCGCAGATCCTGAATGCAGCAAAATCGTATTTGACGAAGCAATACACGCGCGGGACCAACTCGCGTGAAATCATCGAGCGCGCAGATCGTGGACAAAAACGCGGGAATCCACTACAAACTTTATGTCACGGGAACGGATACAGCAAATTGCGGACGCAGCAGATTCGCATTTCAGGGTGCAACATACACGCAGGAACAACTCCCGTGTTACGGGAGCTGATATCGCGCGCGCAGATCTCGGACAAAAACGAGGGAACCCGCTATGAACTCGCTTCTCAGACGAGCCGGTGCAGTAAATTGTGCGGTTGACGCGATTCCCATCGGACATTGCGTGACGTCCGACGGGATTCGGAGGGTGGGCGATGTTTCGGAATTGATATGTCACATATATAACGGGACAGGCGATCCCTCGGGGGTGGGCGTTCTCTCGGAACTTCACGGTATAGTAACTGAATAATGAAACAAGCCATAGTGATTACGTGGCCAACATGTGCTGATTACGTGACACCACTCTTTCTCTCCCAATAATAAGGAGTTTTAGAATAGCGCACGCTAATGCTTTGCGTACGCAAAAAACAGCGTCGTCGCCACTGCGCATGCTCCGAACGCAAACCAGGTTTTGCGCTTTGCGTGCGCAATTTTAGCGTTCGCTTTTTCTCGGAAATAGCGTGCGTACGCAAAGAGTCTTTGCGCTTCTCCAAGGAGGATTCGTGATGAGAAGTTGGCGAAAGCCAAGACGAGCAGAGTTTAAAAAAAATGGAGGCTTCCAGGAATATGTCAGCGGCTGCTTTGGCGGCGTCGTGAGTGCGACGTCGGCGGTATCCTCGCGACTGCGATCTTCAATACGGGACGACATTGCGCGCGGTTTGGCAACGATCACCGGCAACTTGATGCTTGTGACGTGCAAACATTTCTCGGCGAAGGTGCGATGTGCGAAGGTGAGTACACGAGACCTCTCTTGCGGAGGCGACGCAAGCGGACACGACCGGTCAACCGCTCGCGTCGCATTCTTACGTTTAAACAAATCTAAAATAATACTCTGGACCAAAAAACGTGTTTGTTCTCAAGTTACAGCATTTCGTGTGTGAAATAAAAATTGTGACTGTATCTTGGTGGCGTCGCAAGCGCGAGATGGTTGGGCTTTTGCGTCGCGACGGAGAAACACTATTCTAAAACTCTCTCGCGTCGCGTGCGCTAATACAAGCGCTGAATTTAGCGCTAGCGCGCGCTAAAATTGCGTACGTTATTCTAAAACTCCCTATTACTGGGACACATTTTTTTTTACCCACGGGAGTACATGTATAGGGCGGCTCAAGTGGATCTTACGCTTTTAAAAGAGCCCGTAAAATAGACGCCTGCACAATAGAAGCTCAAATTTTCACGTGCTTTCAGATAATGGACTTTAGCTGATGAAATTTCAAAGCATAGCTTCCTTTCTGTGAAAATGAGACCAGCACTCTTGCCAGGGTCAACGGTGGATGATTTCGCAGACGACCGAGTTTGCGACGCTTGTAACGAGTGGCGCCATCTCCCGGTAGACGCAGCGAGCATACGACAGAGCGAGCCATCTGCTCGCTGTGTTCATTTGGAGATGACGCCACGGGCTACAAGCGTTGCTAACTTGGTCGCCTGCCAACCCATTTGCCGATGACTCTTGTCATTTTCACAAAAAGGAAGCTATGCCTTAAAACTTTATCAGCTAAAATGCACCACCTCGAAGCATAGTAGGCGAAAGGTTGAGCTTCCTGTATGTAGGGGTAAATTTTTCCAAAAAACGTTTTATAGTGTAAGATTCACTGGGAGCCACCCTATACATGGCAGCTGAATTAACAATTGTCTAATCTGCACCGATAACGCAGGGGTATAGCATCATACTTCTGAGCGGGGGTACACTAGTTCTATTCCCATCAAGGAACAAAGTGATCTTTTCAAAGACACCTAGCCGTATTATCACATTTCCATTCGTGATATTCTGCACTTAGAAGCCAGCAATTAAGTTCATTCTGCGCAAAAAACCTAGTTACTGGGTGAAATCATTTCTCCCGATTCTATGACATTAAAACGTCTTTGAATTAATGCCTGGTGCATAGCAACGATCCGACGTGTTTTCGGATGGAGCCGCGCTATCTGCGAATGATTTGCGCTAAATCGTAAAATCGTGCTTGTTTGTGCGGCCCACACGTGCACACCCGCCCCATTTGGACGAATCCCCTAGCGACCTGAACGGGGCCGGCAGCGTCGCAGAAGTGGGTGGGTCGCACTCACCGAGAAAAGGAAAGTGCGTTCCGCCTAGGTTGCCGCGTCATCAGTGTCTCTTCATATGGAGCGACAGGTGGTCCGACCTGGAGAAGGACCTCTGGCAGAGCTGGCACTTGAACGGCTTCTGGCCCGTGTGCTTCCGGAAGTGGCGCGTCAGCTCGTCGGACCGGGCGAACTTCCACGTGCACCCCTCCCACGTGCAGGTGTACGGCTTCTCCCCTGCAAAGCCAAGGGTCCGTTCACGTCCCACTGGGTTTTACGCGCCACTCGGGACTACTACTACTATGGTGCCTAGAGGACACCTTCCGACTGCTGTGTTTACCGCGTCCAAAAAAAAAAGTGGTCCCTCAATTTCCGCTTCATGACGCAATCAAAGTGTCATGCTGCCGCCGGCAGCGATCCTGGCGGTGTCACCGCTGCGGTGGACTACGTGGCAGACCCCTGTTCTGCTGCAGATCGCTCTCTAGACAAACAGTCCACGGCCAGGTAGACATTACATAGTTTCACAATCGTCACGGTCAGTCTAACCATTAAATAAAAGTTAACTAACTTTTACATAGGGAAAATAAACATACGGTACCGCTTAGAAATTTGCTAGGTGTCATCGAGAGTCACTAAATCAGTGAATTTTAGAAAGACTTTGAGCACGTGGGAAAAGCGGTAGTGCCCTAAGGTCACTCCTTCAACAGGCGCGAGGCTGGCGGTGTGAAAAGGCGGATGATAAAAGACGGAAAAACCGCGCGGGCGCTTTCTTGTGCCAATGCAGAGCGCAAGTTCGTCTGCTTCTTTTGCAGGGGTTGTGGTGACGTCAGAAAGACGTCGAGCTCTGATTGGCTCTGATTGAAGGATTGTGGGTAGACCTCGAGGCAGCTTGCTACGAGGTTTACCCACTATCCTGCAATCTGAGCCAATCAGAGCTCGACGTTTTTGTGACGTCACCACAACTCTTACGCAAAAAGCAGACGAACTTGCTCTCCGCATAGTTTTGTGCCTGTTGCAACCTTAGCGAACCACTGCCCGCTCGAAGTATTTCTGAAATTTGCTGATTTACTGGCTTTTGATGATGCTCAGCAAGTTCCCAGTTGAAACCATACGCTTATCTTTATTCATTAGAAAGTTAACTAACGCACTTGAGTTAATTTATCCTACTTGACCGTGACAGTCACCCCACTATATTCTGTTAGGATTAGTTAGTATTTCAGGGTTGAAAATTAGAAATAGCACAAAGACACGGGAAAAAATAACCAGGTAGATGAACGAGGGTGGACGGTTGGAAGGCAGACGGTTGGAACAGATAAAGGGTGTTGCTATATAGATGCACTGGAGAAATGCGCAACTTTGGCCTAAGGAGCGCGTAACATCCTTTTTTATGTTTCTTTTTTTTTTCTTTTGCTCAGCGTTGCAGTATTGATACTCGATGTTAGCACAAATAAACTTCAGTTGTAGGACAGAGCTGTTATTGCTCTACCTTCTAGTTCCCGTCTGTCTCTTTGCGCTGTTTTTAATTTTAGAGCGCAGCACTTAGGGGCCCGTTTCCGGCTTGAGCGGCGTCGCCGTCGGCGTAACCGCGAGGTCACGTGACCCCCCCCCCCGAGGTCACGTGACACCCCTAGGTCACGTGACCCCCGAGGTCACGTGACCCCCCAGAAGTCACGTGACTTCAGGGGTCACGTGACTTCAGGGGTCACATGACCTTAAGGCGGTCACGTGACTCACCCAGGTCACGTGACCCCCTTGAGGTCACGTGACCCCCTGAAGTCACGTGACTTCTGGGGGTCACGCGACCTCAAGATGGTCACGTGACCCACCCAGACGTGACACCCCTAGGTCACGTGGCCCCTGAGGTCACGTGACATACCTGAGGTCACGTGACCCCCTGAGGTCACGTGACCCCCTAAGGTCATGTGACCAAGTCACGTGACCCCCTTGAGGTCACGTGACCCCCTGAAGTCACGTGACCCCCTGAGGTCACGTGACCCCCTGAGGTCACGTGACCCCCTAAGGTCATGTGACCCCTTCAGGTCACGTGATCCCCTTCAGGTCACGTGATCCCCGAGGTCACGTGACCCCCAAAGGTCACGTGACCCCCCGAGGTCACGTGACCCCCCGAGGTCACGTGACCCCCCGAGGTCACGTGACCCCCTGAGATCACGTGACCCCCTTGAGGTCACGTGACCTCAAGCAGTCACCTATCCCTCAGTACGCTTCCATCTTCCTCCTCAAGAGCTGCGCTCTAACCGGCGTTACAGGGAATTGTAAACGGCTTTCATTTTTTAATTATATTATCACCCTTGGAAGTATACTTACCTTTAGCGACTAGACTATAATACTTTTAAGGACTTTTTTTCTTTTTATTTTTTTTAGCAAACCTGTAATCCTAAAAAGACATAAAATTGTGGATTAATGAGCTAGTTGCTCGTATGGTTAGAGAGTAGCTAAAAAAAGACGGGACACATAAAAAGTATAACCCAGGAACTAGATTCGCGTCACAAATCTGGGCATCGTGACGGCGCGACGTGACGGCACACTGACGCATAGCGTGACGCCGCTAAATCGTGATGTAATGTCACTTCATGTCACGCGGCAATGCGTCAGGTGACACCACACTCCGACCCCACGCGACGTGCACCATGTGCCCTGACATCGTGTTACCTGACATCCAACATAGGGTTTTTGAAACCGCGAGGGCACATGATACCAGAATGTGCGACACGTCAAGCGTCAGGTGACCCGGCGTCGCCCGACGCACGGTCGTGTGAACGGTAGTGACATCGGCCACGTGAACACGTAGCCCATAATGGTGTTCTGCGCTATACATCGAGGAGGACGGATCGGGGCTCTAAATTTAGCCGATGACGTCGATTCCGCGTCGCATCTGTTGGCGTGGTAAGGCGACGGCGACGGTATGCGGGTCTCAGCTTTGCTTAGACAATAATACACTGTGCACTAATAGTGTACTCAAGACGATTACTTCGTCCGGGGGTTTGGCCGTTTGAACAGTTTTGTTCCCGGTCCGTCCTGTCCAGGACTGTACTCTCCTGAGCCCCTCGGCTTGCCGGAAGCCACTCCGGGGCTCGGCGGACCCACCTGTGTGCGTCCTCTTATGCGCCTTGAGGTGCGAGCTCTTGGTGTACACCTTCTGGCAGCCCTCGAAGTCGCACTTGTGGACCTTGCGCCTCCTGAGGGACTCCGAGTAGGCGTCGGCGCTCGGACTACGGGTCCGCCGGGGCGTCTGCGCCGCCGCCACTTGCGACGCCACCTGCGATGCCAGCAGCGCGGGACCCGGTGGGGAAGGGGCCGCCGCGACTCCGGGCGCCGAGGCTCCGTTGGCGCCGGACTGCGCCGCCGCCGCCGCAACCGCGGCCGCCTGCAGCTGCTGGCTCAGGGCCCTGCGAGAGGAGCAAAGTTCGAGGGTTATTGTACGCGCCGAAACAACGAAGGGCATCGGGTACGTCCCAGCGGAGGACGGAGGGTTCATTTCGACGTCCTGGGAATCCTTTGACGTGTCACGGGGTACCATGTTGGCAATATCGCTCCGTCATAATGTGGACACCTCGGCCGAGATAGCGCCACGAGCCGAAAGGAGAGGCCCATCCATTCCATTTGACTCTTAACCTGTACCGACCTTTTCATAAAATTCAACCAAGTTCGGCTTCTTCAACAGTCCTGCCCGACTTCTAAACAAAATCAAAATTTTCAAATCTTAAAAAAGAAAAAAAAAAAATATATTTATATATATAAATACTTTATTTCAGATTCCAGATATTAATTACGCGTGTTTACGCACCTTCAAAACAATTAAACATGCCGCTCCCTTCTCCCCCCAGCCGGCGTCATTTAATTATCAGTTTACGGGCACGCGCATATAAACTCAAACTTTTGTTAAATTTTCCACGAACTTCAAGTTGAAGCGCGGTTGTGACGTAAGTTGACTGTGTACATTGTTGCTTCTCTTTATTTTTATTTTGCTGTTAATGCTGTAAACGGTATGGCATGTTGACTATATTTTAGTGCTGCATAAATTCCAACGTAGGCCTTTGGCTTTGTCGAGCTGGCCTTGCGACAGCTTTTTCCGCAAGCCTCCAGTGTCCTGCACGTTGTACTTGATTCAAATTAAATAAACAACAACAAACTTGGAAATGGTCAAACTTGAACGAAACTTCCAACACCGGTAGAGTCGCGCAATACCACCTATACTGGTTTTCATCTCAAGAACCGTAGTTAAAAAAAGTCCGGCTCTACGCGGAGCATTACTAGTTTCCTCTTTTATGGAGAGAATTAGGATATACGTAGGTGCATTGAAGATTAGACAGTTGATACCTTATGAAGCCGTACACGTTTCAAACGCCAAAAGCATTGCTTCTTCCTCCGACAATGAACTTTCATAAGAACTACTTCGCACCGCGTAGGAACATTGCGCAACACTTCCTTTTTCCTTGAGGTGAAAGAATCCCCCCCTTCAGGACCTCAAGCGGCCTGACCCTCCACGAGAGCCGCCGCGTGCTAAGCGGTTCGTCTGCTGCTTTTGCAGGGGCTGTGGTGTTGTCAGAACGCCGAGCTCTCATTGGAAGGCTATGGTAGGTAGACCTCGAGGCTTGCTTGCTGCCTTGAGGTCTACCCACTATCCTTCTGATCAGAGCCAGTCAGAGGTGGGCGTCTTTCTAACGTCACCACAACCCCTGCAAAAGCAGCAGACGAACTTGAGCTTCGTTGGTTTTTCTTTCGCGACGTCACTAGCCGGTTGAGTTTCTAGTTGTCACTAGCCGGTTGAGTTCCAGGAGCATCACGTGTGGCCATGGGAACAAAATGTCACCAAAGTCGTTCCCCGAGTCGTCGCTTGCTTTTCTCCATAATTATTTTTGGCGCAGAGCGTCAAGTTTGTCGTGTCTTCCGCACTTGGCCCAGGAAAGAAGAAAAAAAAAAGTCTAGTCGCATTTGGAAACTCTATCTAGTCTCTTTTAGCTTTCCTTTTTACCAAAACGTAGCGTTATAGTAGCGATTAAGATCTGAATCTAAAAACATTTCCCCAATCCCTAATTGATTTAAATTTACTTTGGCAGAAAAAAAAAAAAAAAGACGGATTATCCCATCAAATGTGTTCGTAGAAATCCTTGTCATTTCTTCTTCTAGAGCTCACCCATTAAACTAGAGGCTTCAGGCCCTCTCGCGCGGTGGCGTCGAAGACGGCTGTGGCATATCGGTCGGGCCAATTCTGGCCTCCCTCTACTGGCTGGGCGAAGCATGCGACCGAAAGGTCCTCGAGAACAGGGCCATAGTGATGGTTTCTCACTTAGCGGATGTCAGCGCGGGGTTGACGCAGAAACTCCAGCACTACAGCCTTGCTGTCTCTAAGGTGCTGCTATAGGAGACTCCTAGCAAGCCACCCTGCAGTTCAACCGTCAGACCGCAGTTACCGAGTGCCGGAAAGGCGAGATCAACTGCAGAACGTGTTTCTGCGCGGAAATAGAATGACCGAACTGATTGTTCTCAGCCACATGATGATACAAACGACCGCGCCTAGAACACACACAAGATAGTCCCGGCAAGCCTAGCTCAATTACCGCGCTTAAAAAAATAAAAAAAAAGTGTGCGCAACAGCCTAGGACGCTAATAACAACGAGGGCCTTTCGCTCTAGTTGCTTTGACCTTGACGACCGCCACGTCGTGATCGCGCTTAACAAAAAAGAGAGAAAAAAAAAAGTTTCCGAATTCCATTCTGAGGGTCATGGGAGTCCTTTCCTCAAACAGTTTCTTTTCTTACTTTTTCGAAATTTGGCGCTTTTCGTGCCGCCGAAGACGGTCCCTCCGTTCTCCCCGTGTCGGCTTCCGTGAGGTCCGAGTTCTCGGACGCGTACGGGGGGGTAATCACCTGACCGCGGCGAACCCTGCAGTTTCCGGGTGGGAACGCCACAACTTTTGCGCGTAAAGCGAAAGAAAGACCCCGAAAAAAGCCGAGCGATGTGAAGTATGCGTTATTAAACTTCTCGCCCTGGGGCGGGGACGAAAGGCGGTCGCCGTTTTCTTTTTTTCTTGTCTACTTTTTTTTCTTGTAGAGCGCATTACCTGGTCCATTGAAAAGTCGCTGACTTCTCATCAAGAGCAGTTCACGAGTGTGGCCAGTGTGGAACCTGTTCTCGAAGTTAAGACTCTAGAGTAACGAACCCTTAATCGCCTCTCGGAGGACAGCTGACGTGAAAGGCCCCAGCGCTGGACGCGCGGCTATACTTGGCGCAGTCCGAGGCTGAGAACATGCAAGGGCGGACAGACACTAGCGCAGGTCACGGCGAATAATCACGCACGTATACAGAAAGATGACGGACGCCTGACGTCGGCTTTTGGCGCTGAATGATTAGCCCCATCAGCGTGTAGCGTCGGCTACGCTTTGACTTAAAATACAGTACGATGAGCAGAACGAGTCGTAATATCATGGTCCCTCCGCATTGCCCGCGGTACTATCCGTGTTCCATGTCGATTGCTCCGTGAAGTATAAAGGCGTTTTGCGGACGAGACTTATCGTCTCCAACGATTGCTGCATCAGTCTGCACTTCCGGATCGTCTGCTAGCAAAAAACTTTTGGCGGAAGCGCAAAACTGTTAACCAATGGCCAAGAGCATTATTTTCGCTAACAATGTGAAAAAAAAAAGCGTACATAAATATTTTTGTAGGGTGAATCTTTTTATTAGGGCGTTTCAGGGGATCGTTCCTATATGACTCCAATAACAATACCCGACACGCCTTCGATGCCTTTGTGCATGCTGTTATCAAAGTATCAGAACAGTTTACTAAACTGTCCATTATTTACATCGCGTGAGTTTAGCGACAGCAAATGACCGCAAATCCGGACACGCCAAAAGTTAGCACAGTCCAAGCGTTGCAATTTTTCTCTCTCTGAAGCCGTAAAGGCAACATGCCGCAACATAAATCAAACGCAAACATTTTCGACAGCGAGTTCGCTGTCATTCCGATTTACTATCACGCGACAACCAATCTACCACTTCGCAGTTCAAACGGATTTGTCTTTCAGTATTCGAGGGAGACACGTCAAAATGTCGAGAGCGCCGATGAACGAATGGCGATGCATAGTTTATCTGTACCTAAGAGAAAATCCGTAGAGGGCTATTGCAGATACGACAGAACGGCCATTGCCGACAATAAATATATGATAATAAAAAAAAAAAAAAGGATTTCTTGCGGACGCGCCGCACAAAAGGCGACCTACAGCAACGACGGTCGAACAGGATCACCAGCTCGTTCCCGCTGTAGCATTAAAATATATATGTTTTTTTAATCGGCGCGGAAGGTTCGTGAATCCCTGGTGATCGAAGCATCCGTCCAGACAGTGCGTTGAAGATTTACTGAGGTCGGGCTGGCAAGGCGCATGGCGGCTCAAAAACCGCCCCTCAGCGATTTGCACAAGCAGGACCGGCTTCGATTTGCCAGGGACCACGAGTCATGGACGCGAACGACTGGGCCAGGGTCGTGTTTTCCGATGAATAAACACTGACGACCCGGTGGGAACAACCGCTCGGCTTTTGGCAGCCACTATATTGCCCGGTGAGAAGTTTTTTTTTGTTTATCGGTTCATCCCTACTCGGCGTCAGCTTTTCCCATAAAAGTGACCTTAAAACATCGAAAATTGTTTTTAGAGCTACGAAGAACTCTTTGTGCAGAAGGTCGACACCAGTGGTGGCAACGCCTTGAAGGAGGAGATATCTCCAGAAGGACTCGGACGGCTCTTCAGGATTGAGGAAGTCAGACGTCACGCGATAATCGACCTCGTCATGCTGCCTTACGTCCTGGATGGCCCATTTTCAGACGGACCTCATGTTGCAGCAGGACCTGTCCCCGGTTCACACGTCCGGCAAGGTACGGTCCCGCCTGGGGGAGCGCTGTGTCGCGGCGCTGTCTTGGCCCGCAAAAAGTGCCGACCTCAATATCCCCGAGCACGTTTTGGGGCGGATCAAGGCAACCATGGCGCGATGGATGGATGGATGGATGAATCCGGCTGAGCCCTTTGGATCGGGCGGTAGCTTACGCCACCTAGCCATTTTGTTTTACCATTCAAGCTTTGAATATTTAAATGTTAGTTGGTCGGAAGTGGCGCGGCATCCCCTACACCGTGCCACCTCCGACCAACTGTGGGAAGCGGTCAGCCGTGAACGGAAGCGACTTCGGGGGCGAGCCGGACCTGTGACCGCGCTTTGTGACTCGCCTTGCCTGGTAGGATGAGGGCCGTGGTCGTGGGTAACGGGGAGATGACGCGGTACTGATTTGCTTATTTAGCGAACTTACGGTTTCTGAACCCCGTAAAATGTCCTCAAACTGATTAAAAAAAAAAAAAAAAACTATAGCTAGACTGGCAAGATCCGGTTTTCTCGCGGTGACAACT